TCTTGGCAAGTTTCATCAGAAGGGTTTGCCATTGGCATCCTCTGAGGCTGAGATAGTGTGACTTGCCCAAGGTGGGTTTCCTTGGCCGAGACGGGGTTTTCCCTGGCTGAGCCGGCATTCGAACCCTGTAGCCAGTGGGTTTCCCTGGCTGAGCCGGGATTCGAACCCTGGTCTCCACAGTCATAGTCCAGCACTCAAACCACTACACCATGCTGGCTTCATCCTCCTTTAAAAATTGAAGGAGAGGCCTATCTCACAGGGCTGTTGTGAAGGCAATTGATGGAGGGAAGCACAATGGGTTATACAATATAAAAGTGAATTTTTATACACACAAAAACATTCTCTCCCATTTGCCTGACATTTTATTCTGCACCTAAACACAGGATTTTTCCATTGAATGATTTATTTTGAAAGCACTGAAGTTGTGTTGTGGAAAGTCTGCTAACATTCAGACAAGGGAAAGGGAAGGGACAGTTATAGGATCTTGAAAATCAAGATTGTGAAAGGTTTGGGGATGGGGAAGGCTTCACATAAGAACTGTAGACAAGGAGGTGATGTAGAGTAGGAAACAGCTTTTAGGGTGGCCAAAAAAAAAAGGCATTTGTTGTAGGGAAACTTAAGACAGTGAAGGAAGACAAAAGGAAAAACATCACAAAGGTTTTGGAAGAAGATAAGGGCTAATATAGAGATGAAATTTAACACCCAAGCAGGGATTCGAACCCTGGTCTCCAGAGTCTTAATCCAACATTCAGGCCAATGCACTATGCTGGCTTTCACACAGTATGTTTATATGGTATAATTTATCACTTATTTTGTGCTTACCAGCCCAGAGTAGGCAAGAAAAGAAATATGAGATGCAGTTAGGTTCTATTTCTTGACTACATACTTGACATCCTATTTGCCACCATTTCTTAGACTTTCAAAAAACATCAATTTTTAGACTTATAAAGGATTAGAAACTTGGGAGTGTTTCTTTTAAAATGGTATTAAAAGCTCACTTTCCCTGTTGTACTGAAGTCGGCTGTTTCTGTGTGCCTCCAAGTTGTTTCTGACTTTACCCTAAAGGATACGTGGTTTTCTTGGCAAGATTTGTTCAGAAGAGGTTTGCCATTGCCTTCCTCTAAGGCTGAGAGAGTGTGACTTGCCCAAGGCCACCCAATGGGTTTCTATAAATGAGCAGGGATTCCAACTCTGGTCTCTAGAGTCCTAGGCTGCATTTGCACTGCAGAAATAATCCAGTTCGACACCACTTTAACCGCCATGGCTCATTGCTATGACATTCTGGGAATTGTAGTCTGTTGTGGCACCAGACAGAGAAGGCTAAATGTCTCACAAAACTACAGTTCCTAGAATTCCATAGCATCGAGCCATGGCGGTTAAAGTGGTGTCAGACTGGATTATTTCTGCAGTGCAGATGC